ATCACCTACTGATTCAAGGGGTCGGATCTAATGAGAGTTTACCAAGGGCAGTTGGACTGCGACTGAACGAGCACGGGATCCAACCAGATTCTCTGAATGTCGCCGGATTTTCTGAATGTGGCTGGCCCGGAGTCTTTCTGAGAAGCCATTGACAATGTCACTGGGACTAGTTTCCTCTGCATATACTGGATTTTTGGGATCCAGTCTGTTTGGATACTCACCTTCCTGGACCTGGAGGGAGGGGGGACGATCTTGAACTTCCCACAGGGCTTGAAACCCTGACTGACCTTAGGGACAAAGAGGGAGGAGGAGAGGGAGGGGGGAGAGTGGGAGGGTGTTGGGAAGAGGGGCGTAAATGGAAACTTTTATAATTTAATTAAATTACTTAAAAAAAAATAACCCACAAACTGCCGGGCAGTAATGGTGCATGCCTTTAATCCAGCACTAGAGAGGCAGAGGCAGACATCTCTGTGAGTTTGAAACCAACTTGGTCTACAAGAGTTAGTTTCAGGACAGACTTCACAGCTACAGAGAAACCCTGCCTCGGGGAAAAAACCCAACAAACTGCAGTTTGTGCTGCCCAGGCACTCACTCACAGATGTGGCATCAACAACGGGAGTGTGGTCAAGCTACCCGAGACCACACCCTTAACAAGCGTAAGTCTCCCTCTCACAGAAACTATAGACCATCAATAACTCCTCAGTTAGGGCTGGGGCCTTGGAGTGCATGCTACAGAACAGTGTGAATCGATCTTCTGCAGGCAGTCACAGTGTCTGGGAGTTCGTAAGTGCAGTGGTGTAATCAGTTAAGAACTTTTAATACCAAGGAGGTTGGACTTTATTTTATAAATTTATAGAAATAAGAATATTGAAAACATTGCTCACTATAAACTACAGAATTAGAAGTAGGAGCTCAGAAAAATGTTTAGACCCATGCATTTATCAGTGACCAAAATGGGATTAACATGTGTTAATCAGACTCTTAATTTCAAGTCTTAGAAAGACAACAAACACAATCTGAGAATAGTAAAAGAGAAATTTTTAGGAAAAAATAGAATAGAAAATAACAGAATTAAATATTTGCAAAGAACGACATAAAAATGCTTAAAGATTTAATTTAAGGTGCAAAATGTGTCAGCTGGGCATCTAATATACTGAATGGCGACTCCAGGCAGCAATAGATCTTATGTGAGGGTCTTAAATGGTCTTACAACATTGTCCACAATGGTAACTGTGAACTACAGATGTTAATTAGCCTGATATTGGTAACATCTCATGGTGTTTGCATGCACCAGAATGTCCTATTGCGTATCTTAATTATACACAATTGGTAAGTTTTGCCTGCATGGACGTGTGAAAATTTTGATAAAGTGTTATTTTCTATTTCCTTTAAATCTAATGAACAAAATATTAAAATGACCATTTTTAAAAGGAACCTAAATTCACAGAAATATTGCATCTGGTGTAATAAAGAAATATGAATTAAAGAGATTAAAAATTAAGACCTAATTCTAGTAGTCTGTTCTGATATATAGATAAGCAAATTAAAGTTTAACTCAGATAGAAGAGATAGTAAAATACTAGGATCAGACTAACGAAACACGTTCACAAGAAGAAAAGAAACAACTTGTCAAAGTATTGTGAAATTATTGAAAGCTAATGTTTAATATTATTTAGTTAATGACTGACACATGTAGAGTTTCTCTAAAATGCTTTGTGCTGACAAGCCATGCCACGGGTGGGGGTCTTCTTTCTGATGTGTGAATATTCCCAAACCGAACCAGCACCGCTGTGAGGTTTATCTCAGCACAAACTGTAGTGTACAGTTGCATATTTTTATTCTTTTCTTTTTCACAAAGCTTCAAACCACTTGATCGTCTTGGCCTGGTAGAGAGGTCTGAGACAGGGGCCTGTCTGTGGGCATCTTGGCTGCTGCTCTGAGGGTTTGGTAAGGAACTAAGCCCACCTTAGCAAGTTTGGCTTTAGAGGGGATTAGAACATGAGAATTGAAAAGACAGATTTCAATGGTTATATTTAAAGCACAGGACTCAAGTCAGACACCTTATTTTATTTGCCAAGTTTAATTAGTACACCAAGTCATGGGTTGGGTTTGCCTTCAACGTTTTCATGTGTACATGCTTTTTCTCTCCCATCTCACTGCCCCTGCACATCCTCATTGCTTAAAATCATGTTTACCTCTTTGCACAGGCTCCTGATCATTTATGTAACTATAGCCAAGTACACTAATAAAAATAAACACATAAATATTAGTGAGGGCCATCTAAAGAAGAGAAAGAACAGTTCATATTGTCTTTAATAATTCTGTGTTCTCTCAATATATTCCACTCCCATCCATTTTCTTGGAAAATTCATTTTTCTTTATGTGTTGGAGAAGGAGATGCTTGGTGGTTCCCGGCTGCCCGGCTAGCTTAGGCCCGAAATAATCACATAGAAATTAAACCACTCCTTGGCCCATTAGCCCTAGCTTCTTATTGGCTAACTCATATTAATTTAACCCATTTTTATTTGTAAAAGGAATGGTGGGCTGCTTCCCGCCGCCCGCCTCCCAGCTAGCTTTACCCCTGAAATAATTACATGGAAACTGCATTCTTTTAAACACTGCTTGGCCCATTATCTGTAGCCTTTTATTGGCTAACTCTTACATATTGATCTAACCCATTTCTAATAATCTGTGTAGCACCACGAGGTGATGGCTTACCAGGAGGATTCTAATCTGCAGCTGTCTCGCAGAGGAGAGTCATGGCGTCTGCCTGCCTCTGCTTTCTTTCTCCCACAATTCTGTTCTGTCTACTCCACCCACCTAAGGGCTGGCCTATCAAAAAGGCCAAGGCAGTCTCTTTATTAACTAATGAAAGTAACACAGACAGTTAACACTCCTCCATCATTTATTAATCTCTATATCACCACGTGACAGTGGCTTACCAGGTAAAGTTCACAGCATCTAGCTACAGCTGCTCCATAGCTTCTCTTTGACTCCACCCTTCTTCCTCCCAGCATTCAGCCTAGCTTTCCCTGCCTACCAAAGTTCTGCCTTGGCTATAGGTCCAAAGCAGTTTCCTTACTCATTAATGGTAATCACAGCACACGGAGGGGACTCCCACATCATCTATGGATGAATAAAATTCCATCATGTACATGGACCACGTTTTCAGGATCCATTCACCTCTTGATGGACTCCTTGGCTGAATCATTCCTTTGCTTCTGTGAATAGAGCAACAACAAGCATGACCTTGTGAATGTCTCTGAGATAAGATACAGAGTCCTTTGAATGTGCCCCCAGCAGTGATGGGGCAAATCGCTTTAATGCGTAGAATCTTTCAGATTGGCTCAGATTAACAAATGTTTTGCGGTGCTTTCTGCTGGGAGAAAATGAAGTCATGTCCACCTTACTGAGTGGGGTTTAAAGTATGTTATTTTAGAGTCAACACTTATTTTTAATTATTTGTATAATATTTGAATGATTGTATGCCATTGAAATTGAGATGTGCATCTTTCTGAAGGAGTGTTCCTGAACATGGTGAATGCCTACACCTACCCATAGAACTAGACATTCTCTTTTGATATATGTTCTTTGGTTTATTGAGAATGAGGGGTCTCAATTTGTAGCCAATTTTTGTAGATCAATTAAGTTTGATCTCAAACTTAATGAAAATCTTTCTGTCTCAGACTCCCAAATTCTGGGATTACAGATTTGAGATTTGGGTCTTAGACCTGTAACATTCTTACACCCATAACATTTAAAATAATGTGTCATGAAATTTAAATCTACTATAAAACAATGCCAATGTTCCCTTCCACACACATCCTCCCCTGCCTGCCTCATGATTGGAATATGTACAACAATGGACTCAGCTAGCCAAACTTCAGAAATGATAAAGCAAAGATGACATCCCAGAGGCTTTTCAGCCAGTAGGGTATCATGAGTTCTGCAAGTGATGTTTAACAAAGAAGCTTCTTGGAAAATTGTACTTTAGTTGAAAAATCATTTCTTAACCAAATTTTCCTAGAAGAAATGGATGCCCTGGTTAACTATCTAATTACTACTAATAAAAACTAAAATAAATGAACTATATAGAAATGCCAACAATAATAATATTGATGCCTCTGGCTCAAATAATCAAATTTAAATATTTTTATACAATCCCAGGAAATCTTCCATTATAAACAGAAATTGTGTAGATTTGCATACTTGCAATTATACAAAAAACAAGGATTTCTAACTTAAGAAATCAAACTAAAAAATAAAATTTATATGTACGTGTGTATAGTCTCAGACACAAAAACTAATGCAACATTTTATAATAAAGGATCATTAAATGCTAATGTATAGTAAAGTAAGCTGTTTTAAAATTATTTCAAACCTGTTCTGAACCTCTTAAAATATGGTCAATATTTATAAATTAATTTTCCTGTTTCAGAAATAGATTCCCTCTTTACCATTACTACACAAAATTTTCTGAACAAAAGTCTCTCAAATATCAACTCTCTCATAAAAGTTTGAAATCACTGAAACTCCAAGAAAGAGCCTTCAGCGTCTCCCAATAGATTTCCAGTGTAGTTCTCTGTCAAGCAGCACATTATTCTGCCTGTACCATAGTCAATTCATCACAATCCAAATTTTATTGCTCAAAAATTTAAAAATTGCATAATGACATTACTGTTTCTTTCTTGCTTTCAATTTTTTAAACAAGTGATTGTAATTTTGAATTGTAATTTTGTAATTTGGAAAAAGTAAACGTGCTTGTAAAATTATTTTTTTCTTACACAAAATAATCTGAAATAATAGTGAGGGCTAAATGAGTATAATACATTGATATGTTAAAATATTTCTGTACACATTATACTTCACTGTGTTTGCTTTATACTTCATAGTCCTCATGTTTAATTTATAAACAACTCTAATTTTTTCAAGAAAAGAAAAAAACTAACATTTTTTTTAAAGTGGAATAACATTTATGCCATTCTTTTTTCTATTAAAAGGCTTTTTCATCCAAAATATGGAAAAATCTTCAGGATTATTTCTGTGCTATTAATACGTCTATCCTTGAAACACAAACAGCAATGCCTGCCCTAAATTAGGCACAGTTCACTGGGTAAGTCAAGACATCCAAACAACAAAGTGATATGGGATTCATTCTAAGAGAAGTCTGCAGATTTCTAGAATATTCTTTAAAAACAAATTCATTTTAATAGAATATATGTTAAAAGTCAATAATGTATAGCACCTTATAGATGACTATGAAAAATAGAATACAACATTCATTACACTTTTAGAAATGGCAGACAGTGTTTCCTCTAAATAAAACCTCAAGTCATGGATCATTTATATTAAAACCAACCTTGAATTCCAGAGGGGGAAATGTTTAAAGAATGAAAACATTAAAGCAGTCACATTTTCTGGAGGAGCATAAAGCTTTATTCAGAGGTGATAATCTGAATTTGAAATGACATCTCTGGAGAGAAGAATCACTATTTTAATAACAAAGGACTTATACATAACCACAGAGAGAAAATCAGTATAGAACGTCATTGAAGCAGGGTCAGAGAAAGAGGCTGGGCAATTTTTAAGTTAGAGAGAGAGAGAGAGGGGGGGGGTAAGAAAGGATAAATAAAAGCAAACTCTCCAGAAAGGAGGCAATTCACACCTTTTAAAACTTGAAATAGGTCTGGCAGAATGGTTAGTGAGGGGGCTTAATGCTAAAACTATGAACCTGAGTTCAATTCCTACATCCACATGGTGGAAGAGTAAATCAATTCTAATCTACACAGACATTTACACACATACACAGGCACACATACACAAACACTCATGAATGTGTGTGTGCATAGGCACATGCACACAAACACACAAGTACACACACATACACAAACACACAGTGGCACACACAATGATCTGTGCCACAAATGATTAAAATGTAGTCATTAGCTTTAAATAATGACAACACAATTTTATAGAAAACATAACTTTAATATTTTGATTTCTCTAGAATGTTTCGCATTTACTCTGCCACCAACTCTAAGTGAATATAACACTGAAAAGAGTAAAGGGTATTTAGAAAAGTATGAATGCCTTAAGTAATACACTATTACTTAATTTAATAATTAATTAATAATACAGGTAATTGCAGAATACCTGTAAAATATAACTTTTACCAGAATACCTGTAAAAAAAATAACTGAAATCCTGCTGGGTTTGGTTGTATTAGACAAACTGTCTTATTTTCTCATTTCAAACCCTATCAGAGACCATCTTCCTGCAAGGAGACTTATGGTTCATTTCAGTGAAAATCTGAGTGATTGTCATGTGTCTGTGGAAATCAAAATTTGCTTTGCAGTAAACCTCAAGAACAGAAAACAATATCTGAAAGACAGAAAGTAGAGCTGACTAGCTTCCCAAACCTTATTTTACTTCAGTGATTAGAAGTTAATTGATCTTCTCTCCACTGTGCAAACCCAGTCAAAACCCACGGTTCTCTCTAAGGGCACTGTAATGAGAAATCATCTCTCTTAGGAGGTAGATATTTTAAGCCAATTTTCTGGAAGGGGACAAAGGGGCTATTTCAGTGTAAAAATCTTCATCGTTTCAAATGTACAGTTAATTTTCTCAATAATTTTATTCAAATCTGAACTGTAGGACGATCTCAGAAGACATTGGAAAGGAAAGTGTCACAGGAACAAGTGAGAAAGAAAACAAACTGTCCGCAGATCTAAAAGTAGATGTTTGCTGTTTAGTGTTGGATTTCTCTTGCAAGCAGAAATGGAGGTGGTAAAGTTTGTTTTCAGTTGAAAGCTGGGTGTGAATGCTGCGTGTTTGTATGACTTCCTGAGTTCCAACAATAGGGGAAAAGCTACAAAGAAAACAACAACAAATCAGTAAAGCAAGGGAAACATACAGGTTTCATACGTGTATCTGACAGCATCAGGTCACAGTGTTGCTCTTCCTGCTCAGCTGTGACCTTGTCTCATGCCCTTGAAAAGGTACCCAGGCTTACACACTTCCTCACTGAGAAATAGGAATAGCGGATGCTATCTTACATCTACTTACATGCAAAGGCAAGATCACCAAAATAAACCTAATTTTAACTCCTCTGTAGGAAAAATACAGCATTTTCTGTGTAAATATTGCAGTATTTCTATGCCCCTACATGACGAAATTCACCCAAATCACAGATTAAGATTGTTGAGCCTCCTATGAGCAGATTAAGTTCTTCTATTTTCCTTTATAAAAAGATTTGATCTTGAACACAGCTGGGATTTAACATGTAATTATATCTGCAGAATTTTGAAAAATCTTACAAAATCTCAGTGAAGAGGAAACCGTGTAATGGAAGCAGTGAGGATCAGACGAGCAAATGTTCAGAAGGGGTCAGTATTTTTCTTTACATGGAAGCTATCCTTAGCTTTAAAGATAGTATGTTCCCTTATAGTGGTATAAAAATAGTTTTGCTTCGAGGCTGGGGAGACTCCATTCGTGAAGTCCTTGCCATGAAAGCCTGAAGACCTGAGTTCCAAATTCGCATTTCAATGTCAGGCATGCTTTTCTCCCATGACACTTTACTTGGCACACTTTGATTATTATGAGACCTAGTACTCGGGTAGGAGACTTCTAGGTTAATCTAGCTCTATACCTCCAAGTGCTGTGTCCAGAATAGAATGTGTAACGTCTTCAGTAAGTCTAGCCCAATGGTACAATAGTGGTATTTTATCTTAAAGGAAGCAAACAGCTGTCTAGTTGGATTTAAGGCCCACTCACTATGAGGAAAGTTTTTAGTACTCTGAATCTAGCCAATTGCCATCGGCTAGAGTAATCTTAAGTGATAGAGAAGAGCCAGATATGGCCTTCTGTCTTCTAAACACCCATCCTCATACCTATAGATTAGGTATCATTTTCCTCTCATCAAATAAACTTCTTTTGCAGTAGCAGATGGAGGCTACTACTACAATCTTCAATGACCAAAATGCTGAGACAAGTGACTCTGGGGACCTGGGCTCAGGGGACATCGTGGGAGTGGGGCAGAAAGTCTGTGAAGGCAAAGGGGCAGGAACCCTTCTGGTAGGCAGTATCTTCTAGACGTGACAGTAAACAGTATCCATGGAATCTCACCAATATTGTTGTCTATTCCTGAATAGTGACATTATGCCAAAGGGAACAGGGAAACTTTCACAAGCTCCCTCCCCCTCCAGATGGAGACGTCGTCGAGACAGCCAATAGCTGCTGACTGAGAGATCAAGAACTAATTTTCTTCAGGGATGAGCCCCCTGAGAGGTTACCTACTCCCAAGCTTTCAACACTAATTATTTGTACATGCAAGAACACTAAATAGACTCAGTAGGGTGTGTGTGTGTGTGTGTGTGTGTGTGTGTGTGTGTGTGTGTGTGTAACAATAGCAATTATAAAAGAAGGGGTTGTGAATTGAATTTGAGAGGGACTGAGGGGGAAAAGCAAGGGGTTAGTGAGGAGTGGAGGAGAAAAATGATGTCTATAGAATACACATGGGAAGTCTGTGGGGCCACTGGCTATAGGACCAGGATTTATCCCAACTGCTTAAACTGGCATCTGGAAGTCCATTCTCTTTGAAGGGATACCTTGCTGAGCCTAGATATGGGGGCGAGGGGCTTGGTCTTGTCTGGAAGTGAGGTGTCAGACTTTGTTGACTCCCCATGGGAAGTCTTACACTTTCTGAGGAGTAGATGGGGGGGCGGTCTAGTGAGGAGAGGGTGGAGCAGGAGGAGGGGAGGGAATGGGAACAGGATAGCTATGTAAACGAGAAAAGATTTATTTAAAAAACCTTAATTAAAAAAAGAAAGCAAACAAAAAAATCTCAAAAATCAAATTTTTAAAATTCAGGAGTGGTGGCTGTCTTTGCAATCCCAGCCCTGCACAGTGGAGACAGGCAGATCTCTGCAGCTAGTTGCCTGGCCAGTGTAGACTACTGGACAACCTCTCCTCCAATGAAAGACTCTGGCTCAAGAAACAACAGCAGCAGTTGTTTCCTGGCTTTTAAGAACATGCACACACACATATATGAACATATACAATCATGCACCCACACACATAAGTGAGCACAAAATTATTTGACTTGATAATTTCAAAAGTACATTGAAATTTCCTGAGAAACATTCTTTCAGCCTCTGTATAATTTTGGTATTTTCTATCTGTTTTGATCCTTAAAACATGCATGCATTCACTCATAAGTGTCTTAATTAAAGATTTGTAAATAAAAATATTGCACTCAAAATAATTTAAAACCATTTTTGTTCATTGGAAAACTGAATAATAGAAAGAAAAAATATATTGTAATATGTTCCAGATGCCTACTGACAAAGAATGTAATATAATAAATTTCTAGCATCATGCTCACTCTTTTATTTGATGATAAAATAACTGCTCTCAGTGAGGTACTTGTTAGTTTCGTGTCTGTTGAGAAGTATTGAGGACTATCACAATAGATTTTTTCTGTGTTATTTACCTTTGTGTCTGCCTTGCTTTAGGGTACTTTGTAAACATACTTTCAATGAAGATAGAGGTTTTCTTAATGCCAGAGATGAGAAAAAAATCAAGACAGAGAAAACAGCAATAAAGATTCAAGTAAGAACTGAATTTCATATCTCTTGAAAATGAATGTGATTATAAGCTCTAGTCAGTTAATGTCAACATCTGTAACAATATCTCCTTGCTTTTATCTCCACAGCATAAAAACCTAAGTTGGCAGACTCGCTGTTAATGAATTATTCCACTGTTGTGTTAAGTTCTGATATGACAATGAAAGTCTATTAAAATAAATATTGCTTCAATGTCATCAATGTGGTTTATAAATTATTTTCATAGATATGTATGCATATATATATCAGATAATATTATTTTTCTTTGCATTAAAATCTGAAGTGGGCCAGAGAGACTGGCCCGAACACTAGGGCGATATTAATGGTCCTGTTTTATCATCTTCACAGAGGGTCCATGCAGTAACACACAGAAGCAGGCAAGGATGAAGACTAAAAATAACAAGCAACAATCAGCGACTTCTGAGTCCCAGGTGCATGGCTTCAGTATCTTCTGAATCCAGTTCCCAAAGGAACAGAACACATTTAGGGCAATTAAACGGCACTATCTTTTATCTCGTGGAAGGGTCAAAAATCTATTTTTGCAGTCAGCAGCAATTATTGGCCCATTATCCTATATTTACCCCCGAGAATCACTCACCATCTCAGTTCTCCGCCAACACTTGGAGTCTCTGCACATGGGCCTTAAGGGGGGAGTCATCAGAATGCAAAGGAAAGGGGCTCAGTGACAGCCATTTGGGGAATAATGACCCAACTGGCAATCAGCTAGATGAATTTCCTAGGAGTGCTCATGAAAATACAAAAATAATTAACACAACCATTCTGAAAGTGCACACCAAGCACATGTGATCAGATGGGTTGTACTGATACGTTGCCATTGTAGGGAGCTGTGAGATAAATCACAAGAGTTCACTTTGGTTAAACATTCCACAGAAATACATATAGCGTGTATTACGTACAAAGCATTACTGGGTACTGGTGGTGCTGTGACCTCAACATTAAAAGCAGAACTCAACCTGCCAAGAGATTTAGTCAGGGCAAGCTCAGACAGGTACCGGTTTCAAGGTGGGTGTAATTACCTTCTTACTAGTGGGCAGGTCACGCTGCACAGTTATTGTCACTTAAATCACTCTGACTGGAGCGGCGATGGATCAGGTGATAAGAGGCGAAACAGTTCGTCCGGAACTGAGGGGATCACAAAGGCACCAAGATGGGCAACTTCATTTCAATGTGTTTTCTGATCCAGCTCAGAAAGCAGCAGCATCTCCATGATACCTCTTTGTTCCAGGCTATTGTAAAGCATATTAATATATTTATCTTAAGAAGGAAGCTTGGCTACAATTTTCAATCTTACAGGTACATGGTGTTCTCTAACATCGTGTCCTTTGGCTGCCAAAAATCAAAAGGTTATTCTGTGTGTCTGATAGCCCACATATTATAAAGTTCCTTGGGAAAAGGGTCAGTAAGAACCAATTTCAGTAACTTCTTTATCACTGAGATTTGGGAATGATTTTACCTGGAAGAAAGGGACTATATTTTCCTAGTAGTATAGTAACAGCAGGCTGCATTCCTGCGAGCTATTCCCGGTTTCTGCATTTCCTGGAATGTGACTCCACTGGTTAAGAACTCCCAAGATGGAAAAGTGATCCTGGATATTACAGCTATGCATTTTGTTTAACCCAGAGCTTCCTCTCCAAGATATTGATCCAACTGCCTTCTCATTTCTCCCCGAGCCAGCGCTGCACACACTGATCACAGCACACACAGTTTCCAGTGGAGGAGCAGAAGAGGTGGGAAGGCTAGGAGCTCTCCCTTTCCATGGATAAGCGTGCTTATTTGCTTTAGAAAGGGATATTCTAGATAATCAAGACTGAAGGGGAAAAATCTTCATAACACTTCTAAATAGTTTTAAAATAACAATAATAAAATTAGGCTGGGAAGACAGCTCAGCATGTGGACCCAATTTCAGATTCTCAGCACCCACATAAAAAAGGTGAACCTGACTTTCCCACTTTTGCAGAACTAGGAAGGTCCCTAAAGATCACCAGTCAGCCATGCTAGCTGAATCAATCCGTAAATTCCAGCTTCAGTGAGAAACTTTGTCTCAAGAAGTAAGGGGGTTCCCTGAAGAACACGAACACACACTGCTGATCTCAGAGCCACATGTGTTCATACATGCATGGACATACACATGTGCATGCACATAAATATGAACACATATGAACACCACATGCATATGAAATATCATAAAATCAAACCTTTTGTATAATTGTTGCTTGTGCGCATGTGTGTTTGTCACTATGCCAACATCTCTCAGTATTTCATTGCATTTACTTTTTAAATCAATTTTCACTTTTTATTGTCTGACTAATGAAATAAATTATTTTCAGTGCAATAAAGAGAAAACGATGAGCCAGACATACAAATACTATCCATAAATCTTCTTTTAATACAAAGGATTTGGCACAGTTGTAGATTTTTTTGGATGTGGGCTTTAAGATGCAAAGTAACATGATCTACTTGGATTAAAAGTTATAAGGTCTCATTAATAGAAAAATTAAATATCAAGACATTGAGGAACACACGGCACCACAGGGCCAGGAAGTTAGAGTTTCACTTTGAAAGATAAAAAGCATAAAGTTTTTCAAGTCAAGCAAAATGGTCATATCTGGTCTTAAGGAAAATTAAACTGACAGCTATGGTTCTGTTGAATCAGAATGAGCACACAACTGGAGTGTGGAAGAACATTTTCCTAGGTGAACTTAATGAGAATCTAAATTAGAGAAGTGTCAGTGGAACTAAAGAAGAAGAAGGAGCTAAGAGGCTTGTTTTAGAGCCAGATCCAGCTGCACTCAGACTTTATCTAATGGTGCAACAATAGAGGTAAGGTAGATGTCTCACCTCAAGTTCTGGGACCCGGGCACTCACCTGACACTTACCTGGCACTTACCTGGGACCCAGGCACTTACCTGACAGACTTATGGGGAAGGATGGAGATGTTGGAAATAGGAGAAAGTAAAATTCTGAAAATATTACAATCTCAGATGGAATACAATATAACCCAATAAAAATTAGTAAAATGGCATTCAGATGTTAAGAGACATGTATGGGTTTCCATCCAAAATAGAAGAATTTAAAATACACATAGAAACAAAGAAAACTATGATGGAGATGCATATAGAAGACAGAGCAGACCTAAGACTTTCTTTATTCAGAGGAGAACCACTGCAGGGAAGCTACTGTTATGCTTAGCTCAGGCTGAGCTCCTGGATGACAAAGGACAAATTGTATTGACTTGTGAGAGTCTTTAAAAGGAAGACTTTCAAAACATGTTTATTGTAGTGTTTAACTGTCTCAATATGTAAGCCAAGGAATTTATATATGCTGTTATAGAGCAATTAACGAGGCAGACTGTGTTCCAGATGTTTCTGCTCCAATGTTTAAGGCAAGACTGTGTCCATAACATCATGCCTATGAAACTACTAATAATGATAATGCCCGTTGGAAGGCTGAGCAGAGAAATGGGCAGCATCCAGACTAGGAAGGATGACAGAACAGTAAAAACCGCCATTACAGCAACCAGCTCAGGAAGCAACCACTGCAGCAACCAGCTCAGGAAGCAACCACTGCAGCAAACAGTTCAGGAAGCAACCAGTACAGCAAACAGCTCTTGACCTATAAGAGTCCACTAAGACCAGGACTTAGCCAATGACTATCAGACTTCTCACTCAGGATCAACTAGCAGACCAACATGCAACAAAACAAATCACACAAGAACTTCACTTTTATTGAATCATCTTCAAACAGATGTTACACAAAGTTCCCTGCTTCTCACTGGGTTGAACTGTTTGGTTTTTGTGTTGTGTGATTAAAACTTCCTGTGTCTCTGGCTGCCTTTGAATCTCTGCCAAACACTAGGCATGGTGGCTTGCTACTTGCTTTAGGGATCCTGAATAATTAGTTTATGAGTTTGTCTGTTTTTAAAATTTGGGGTGGGGGTTATTCATTTATTTCTAGAGTTTTCTTCAAATCCAATCAGGAAATGAAGTCTTCATCTTTCAAACAAGCACAAACAGTAAGTATAGAGTCTTTTGTCACTGTGGTTTGTCAAATATGTGTCAGTGTGCTTCTAAGTTTGAAGAGGTCAAAGTTGGGCCCCTTTGTGTTAAGTTCCCTGGGAACTCTGTACCATGCCTCGATGTTGTTGTTAGATTCCATATGTGAAGGCTTTGTGGAATCAGGCCATTAAGTTTCACCCTTCTTGGCTCTTTTTTTTGCATTTCCAGGTTGTGCCACTGTCTAAATTCACTGCTGTCGTGTGTAGAACATAGCACAGTTTTTTTTTTTTATCCTGTCATTGAACTCATCTGTGGACTCAAATTTTCTCACTTCTCAGCATCCATCTAAACATTCCTATGAGTCACCAAGAAAACTGGATGAAATTCTCTCCCTTCTAGTATTTTCTTCCTGGGATTACGGTTCTATCCCAAAGAATAATTTCAACTCACAAAGAAGCACAGATTGTTAAGACTCAAGTTGGATATAGTGATTAGCTTGTAACCCAAAACACAAAATACCCAAGGATCACTTTGACTCACCATTGTCACCAGCCACAGAGTCATTGATGCTCACCAGTCACAGGGTCACTTTTGTTCTAGTATCATCATACCCTACTCAAAAGAAGAGCAAAGAAGGAGAAAGAAGGAGAGAAAACTGTATATGCAAGGTATATGTAAAGATGTTGAAGAGGTTAGACTCCACAATAAAACACATCTTGTCTATGAAGCTATCAGATGGATAGCTGCCAGATATGCTCCTAAGATTTGGGTGATTAAAGATGGGAAAGGTTATTTATTAGCAGAATCAGGGGAGTTAAGCAAAGATGGAGACAATACCTTGAAACGCTATTCAATGACACTAAATGTTGTCAAATTAGGCTACAATGAGAAACACTTCTGCAGTCATTCATACACCAGAGATGGTGAGAAAATATAAAATATTGATAGGAGCAAGATAGAGGAA